GTCTGATCTCATCTGATCTGGTTTGGTCTGAATTGGTCTGATTTGGTAATGTCTGGTCTCTTTGTATTTTTATAACTATCCAAGTCTGGTCTGGTCTGAACTGATCTGATCTGGTCTGAGACGATTTACAGTCCAAGTAAAAACTTCCTTGCACTACTAGTTACATTTTTTGGGTGTTCACATAACACTTTTGAACAAATATAGGTCCGTCCCTCGTTGTACCAAGGTATGACATAGCCGTTTTTTTGTAATTAATATTGTTGGGGTAATTGACCCAATACAGGGTTGACCCCAAAACCCCATAAGGAGGAAAGGGCCAAATAACGACCTAATGTGGGGCATGTCCAACGCCCATCCAGAGCAAGCGACGCTCGTCGCCAATGCCCTTGTCCAAATAAGGTCAGATCTCAGATAGTGTAATTCTAGGATTTTTCATGTAAAAACGATTTGCCATGTAAAGAAGTGTGTGTACTGAGATTCCAATTATCCCGAACTTCCTTAGCAAATTCTAGGATACCTACTTTTTCAAGGACAAAATGAGATAAATTTAGGTAAATGGTAGAGCAAGATGTCTCAATCATTTCTATTTGTTTAAGTTTATCCTCAAAATTTAAATACTGATCAGTAACAACTTTATAAACTTTCTATTATAATAACAAACATTTTATTTTCTGTTTCTAGATATGAAATTCAGATTTACCATTAAAGGAAATCATGCATGTCATACATATTGAAAGACATAGTAAGGAACACAATACACACAGATAACTGAATTGAGGGTAATAAAGGGGCTAACCCTAGAAGGTTAGGCCACGAACTAAGGGCTACGCATATCCGGGACCACTGGAGTGGCTTGATCATAAGGGAATCCTCTAACCTTAACCTCAGGTGCCTTAGCCAACTAGAGATTACAAACCATCAGTATTACTAGAAGTCGGAAACCATCACAATAAAAGTATAAAACAGACCAAAAACAGAAGAATTATTAAAAACACATGCAAGAGCAAGTTATAGAACAAGTGATGATAATATAAATGAGAGGGAAAATGGTCAAATAAGCCCTCGAACTAACCAAAAAAGTGCAAATAACCCTTATATAGGAGGTTCTGTCCGGCCATCGGCATCTGGAGAGGTTCCTGGTGGAATTGTTTGTTGAAATGTTTTGAGCATCTTCTTCATTCAGTCTAGTTTAGTCATACCAAATTTCAGCTAAATCTTCAATCGGGAAAGCAGTCAAATAAATTTGTGAAGATAACTGCGCAGTTAAACAGCGCAATATATTCAGAAAATCATTTGACTGCCTTCTGAGTTGAATTTTTAGCTGAAATTTGGTATGACTTAACTAAACTTAATGAAGAAAATTTTCAAAAAATGTCATAAAAAATTTCAACCGGAACATCTCCAAATGACGACGGCCGAAAAAAACCTCCTATATAAGGGCTTATTTACACTTTTTTTTATTAGTTTGAGGGCTTATTTGCCCATTTCCCCTAAATGAGACAAACAAACCAATCACATAGATAAACAGTGCACGAAAATCAGTTACAAGGATAGACAGTGGATCCAAGTAGATACAAAGTAGATCCATTCATGCAAAGTTGAACCAACAGCACCTAGGGTTCTGCAGACGTACTCAACAAGAGAGAGATTCTACACATGCAACACTAGATCCAGGGTTTCCACCAGTAGGTCTATCCACAAAGAGTACAAATCTACCCATGTATACATAACCCGGTGGCACTTCGGCGACCCTAGGATTTCAACTATTATACCTGAGAGGATGTCCAAAGGAGGGACTATCCGACTTAGCAAGATGACCCATGGTGTAGAAACAGAGGCATTACCAGGCTGGGGGAGACTTCCGGTGAGAGTCCGTCTTCTGCAAGAGGAGGTAACCACTAGAGCTCTAAAACTACTGTTGAGAAATAGTACCGGATCATACCTCAATCATCTAGACCACTGAGGTTTGCTCATGATTCAACCACTAGGAGACCGAACGGCGAGTCAGAAAGGAAAGCAACCTACACCACTCATATATGGATTAATAAGAACCAACCGGAAAACACCCAAACCACGAGTTTTAGAGTAAAGCCCGAAAAAAAATCTCAAGAGACCGACGGAGGGTGGCTGGATGTCATCCCTCGTCCAGTTCAGACACTCTCTCACTATAGAACTAGGTTTTTTTTAATAATTTTATTTAATATTTACTTTCGTGTTTTTTACATTTTCATTATGAAAATAGTTACTCCCTCCATCCCTAAATTACCTTCCCACTTTCCATTTCGGTACATCCCAATATTATCCCATTCTTTTCTATTTTAGCAACTTTTACCATATCATTTTATCCTAATACCCTTACCATCTTTATTACATCTACCCATATTTATTATCCCCATTGACCATTTAACTCATTATAACTCCATATACCTGCTCCCCTCTCTCCTGTCTTTCCATATTTCCCTCTCTCTTGTCTTTCTATATTTCTCTCTCTCTCTCTCATTCGAACACCCCATCTGTATGTTCAACTCTGCTCTCCATTTTTTAGATTTTTGCACCTTGTGTTGTCAAGCCCTCCCATCGATACAAATTTTGGATTTGTAGATCCATTAATGGCGAAAAACGGCCATTCTTGGTCATGCATGCAGATGTGGTGGTTGAAGACTGTGTCGATGCCTCCAGTTGGGCCGACGTCCCTGATTCCGAAGATCAGATGATATAACCTAGGGTTGAAGACAACGAAGTAATTTAAAACAACGAAGTAATTTAGATGATACTCATTTAACAGAAGTTGAGATTATCTCATAAATTACAAAAACTACTCAACAGAATAGATCTGATACTCATTAAATGTTTCTTAATGCTCATTTAATAGAAACCGTGATTTCATCTCAATGGAGGATGTTTGATACTCAATAAAAATGTCCTGATGTTGAACTACCAAACCTTACGATTTTCATATCAATGCACATTGTGTAAGTTATACATGCTCATTTGATACTGATGGTATGCTCATTTTTTCAAATGTTATATCAATGCATATGTTAAAAGTATCATACTACATTCACTCATTCACATATTGAAATTCATAGGAGTTGATTATATATATAATTTAATAAGTTATTATAAAAGAAAAAAATAGAGTGAATTAAATAATATGAAGCAAAGATCTTAATATTAGACTCCTAATATTCAACAAAATAGGTCTAATGCTCATTAGAATTGCACCAATGCTCATTTAAATACTATTTTAATGTATTTTATTCATTGTCTAAATGATCTCTATATTTATGCCGTATGAGATATATAACAATCAAAATAAATTCAAAGTATAAAATTAGAAAAGAGTTAGAGAATCTAGTCACAAGATCATATGTATATCAACATACATCGTATTATACAAGTGCATCAATCAGTTAACATTTGACCAAGAAAGACGCTAAAACTCACTTTGTAATTTTTATGAACAATTAATAATAAATCAATTAAATCAAGATGTCTATCTTTTATTCAAATAGTCATCGACTTTTTTAGTTCAATTTCACAAGAGTCCATTTTAAATACTCTTATCAATTAAGACTCAAGGATATAAATATAAGAAATAAAATAAAGAATGATAGTTGAGAGTATCAGATTAGGTACAAATTGGAAATGAGTATCGAATGATATGAGAACAGAAGAACAAAACTTTAGTATCAACGGATCCGAAAAATAATCTGGGGAAAAGGCAACCCTTTGAGGCACCGGCAGATACTGGATTTCAGATATGGGAGCTGGATCGAGTTGTGTGAAGCAGCGTACCTCATACGATCCTTTTACGAAAGGACATGAGAGAATAAAATAGTGCGTATGAAATGGACCTACGGATGAAAAAAATACAAAAAAAAAAAATTACACCTGGGTGTACATATACAACCGGGGTGTATAGTATAGTATGTAGTGTATATCAAATTGATAGAGCCAATAAAACATTTGTTCAAACATTTGTGTAATAACAGGACATATTTTTTTTTGACAATAACATGACATATATTTGATTGCTGTTATTATATATTTCTTCTGCCTCAAAATGAATTGCAAAGTCAATTTTAATTGGTCAATATAGTTTCTTTTTATCTATTTATTTAGCATAACAATTTCTAATTCGTACTATAGTTTAATTTGGATTTTGCAATTTTATAAAATTTTATAAAAGTTTTAAATATGTAAACTTTAATTACTAAAATTGATTTTCGAATATGTAAACTTTAATTATTAAAATTTATTTAGCTTTATCATTAGTAAACCCTAAAATCCGCATATTGCAATTTAATTTAGGTATGTTAACCTGGCCCAGACTTGGACCCGGTTCGGGCCACCCGGCCCGGGACCGGCCCGGCCCGCTACTGTGCGGGCCCGGAACCGGCCCAGTTCTCGGGTCCGGGTCCGGGTCGGGCCTAGGCCCAGTGGGGGGCGGGTCCGGGCTCGGGCCCTGTATTTGGCGAACCGGCCCGGCCGGGTCAAGCCCGGGTCCGGGCCAAAAAACTGTTTTTTTTTTTTTTTCATTTTTTTGGGCTTTATTGAGTTGGGCTTGATGTTTAGGACCGGTTTGGGGGGTTTGGGGGGGTAGGGGGTGGGGGGGAAAGAAAAGAAAAAAAAAAAAATAAACTAACCGGGTGGCCCGGCCCGGTCCGGCCCGGAACCGGACCCAGAACCGGTGGCCACCGGTTCGGGCTTGGGCCCAACAAAACAGACCTGAGGCCCGGCCGGGCCTAGGCCCGAACCGGCCCGGGGCCATCCCTAAGTTGTCCTGGCCAGAGCAATGGTTTGGCAATGTTAGCCCGGCAACTCCAACTTCTATAGGGATATTTTTTTAATCAGATATACGTAGTACTACAGTACGTAATACGGAGTAAATTTTATTTAAGGAATTTTACAAATTCACCCCTGCTTTAATAAAATGAAAATATTTCTCTTATTTTTGGAATTCTCCTCCCTTTGATATTATAGGCATAGGCATTTTGGTATAACTTTCGTCTCTTTTAAATAAATAGGTGGAAACCACATGATTTTGATTTGTTAAGAAAACAGAGCAAGTATACAAAACAGGAAGTGGCAGCTTAGGGACGGAGAATATGTTTGTATTTTTTACCATCTGGACTGATTAAGACCAAACAACATGAATTATACAAATAACTTTTCTAGATAGATAGCTGATGCAGAAGGTAGATCAAAGATCTAAACCACATGGTTTCAAAGCATGAAACTGCTTTCATACGTATAATGATTTCATGATCTGCAAATTGTTGTTGCTTTCTTAATAAAGGCATTCCCACTACAACACTCCGACAACAAGCCATATTCTCAATTTCTAGGTGGTTGCCTCTTCTTTCTAGTCAAGGTCGGCTGCATCCTCCAGTTCTTCATCCTCGGGTACCCCACGAAGATATAGGACATTATTACATCTGTAAATATGAGAAGCGGCAGCAAAGATATAAGATTTGAGATTGTTATTTATAACAACAAGACTGTACCTGTACAATCTTTCCTGTAGGGAAACATGATCCATTTTGAGGCATAAACTTATAGGGAAACATGAACCATTCTGAGGCATAAATTTATAGGGAAACATGATCCATTTTGAAGGCATATAGAGAAAGATATCCTGGAAGAAACAAAGGAACAGGAAATACATATTCGGTTCCGATCTTAATAAATCATTTTTTAGATTTACAGTTGAACTAAAGAAAAAACATTATACATGGCTTTTTCCCTTTCTTTGCTTTAAATGGGATGAACATTCACCTACAACTACTTAATATGCATTCCATGTGTACACAGCTGGGTTATCTACTCGGTGAGTACTCGGCGAGTACTCGCAACTCGGGTGGTGACCTTGCCGATTAGTTACTTGAGTCGGTTCGTATAATATTTCCGAGTTAATCGCCGAGTACTCAGCGAGTTTCTCAACTCGGGTAAGTTATCAACTCAGCGAGTTACTTGGCTAGGCATAAACATTTTGTTTTTGTTAAATCTTAAAAGTTTTAATTTAAGGGAGATAATGTGGAATTTATAAATAATGAGTGGGTATTTTAAAAAATGGAAATAAACCTTAAAAAGTCTAGGTTGAAAAGTATTTCATACATTTGCTCATTCCAACAATGGTTCCTCCTCATGTCTAGGTAAGTTATTCCCCTCCATGGCTCTATCTTCTGTCTTGTTTCTTCTTCATTAGGACTTTTTATCATATCTAAAGATTTTAAGAATAATATATTACTATAATTTTGGATAATTATATTTTTAAATTAATTAATATAGTACCGAGTAGTCACCGAGTAATCCCGAGTACTAGGTCCCACTTGCTACTCGGCCCTTGACCGAGTTGCTACTGAGTAGCAATTTAACTACTTAGGTACACAGAGTCAAAGATCATTTGATCTGAGCAAGAATTTGTATTTTATTTTCACGATATATGGAAATTAAAGCCATGATGAACAGAGATAGCGAATGAGTATTGTTAACTGACCAGACGGAGAGAGAGAATGAACCGAATATTAATGGAAAAATACCTGATCAAGATCTCTCCAAGGGTTCCAGTGGATTGCCCATCAACAAATTCTTCAGCATTTCCTAACTAGTTTTCAAAAACATAAAATACACTTGGTCTTAGCCCAAAGTCTGAGAGAGGTATAAGTATGAAATATATTCAAAGCAGTTATAAGCGATCACTAGGAATGAAAATTACTTCTGAACAGGTATTACTACCAAAAAAACTGAATTTGGTTTCGCATTATTACCTGCAAGTTCATGTATGAATCAGCAGAGACAAGAAACCCTGACAAAGGGAAAGATAGAAGAAAAATAAACAGCTTTAGACCACTCATAATCACCATTAAATGTTAAATTAAGGATCTTCTATCTATCAAATAATATGTAGAGGTTAACAAGATGAGAAGAATATTCAGTGCCTTTGTACTCCATTCCCCACTTGAGTTTTGCAATAATAGTCTTCCCAATCAAACTGTTCAGGAAGGGTTTGGGATTAACTGGTACAGTCTAGGAAAGCAACACAATAAGAATTTCATTAGCAGGATTAGAAGATTCATAAACAGTTACAAATTCAATTTGAATAACAAAAAACGTGTCAGGCAGAGTAAGGAATCATATACAGGGGGAAAGGGCAAAAAAGTGCCCCTGGGACACTATTTAAGAAATCAAATGCAAAATTTTAATTGGGATGCGTGACAAATGCAGTGAAACATGTAGAAAACGCAAACTCCATGGTTTTCAATCAAAAAACTTCCTGCTTTAATTCCTTAACCAATGCCCAAATAAGAGTATTGCGCAGCAAAACCCTTATAATATTTACATTCATCTCTGTATACATTTTTGCACTAGTGAAGCACACGTGTACGCAGGGGCGGATCCAGCATCGCTATTCAGGTGAGGCCAAAATTTAATTAAATAACGTAGATTGCAAAAAAAATGTCAAAGTGTAGCAAAATAGAATGTTATTTGACATGATTTATTTTCAAATATAAAATAAAATTTGTTGCATCATAAATGTCAAAAACAAAAATAAATATAAGAGGAATAAGAATTTCTATGGAATGCAAAAAACACCTCAAACTCATACTTTTTGAACTACTTTTCACCTACCGAATCCATATTCAACAAATTAATTTTTCAGGCTCATATTCAAAAATGCCAATAGTGTTCACAATATTAGTATCTAGCTTATTTAACATTTGAGATCAATTGGTGTTAGCCTTGTAGTAACTGATCTTAGAAGACCGATTTTAAAAAGATATTCCGTATGAAGGACAAAGAGATTTTAGGAAAGAAACTAAATTTTGTACACTATGCTCTCCATTAAAAAAAAAAAAAGCTCTAGATGAGCTTCAAACCCGGACGTGTAAACTTTCAAACTCCGGACGTGCAAGCATGTGGATCAGTCTACTTCCATCTTGCCAAACAATAAGTTGAACATTTATTGACTTTCTTTGTTTTTATATCATTGCATAACAGAATTATATAAAATAATATACATATATACTAGTAATTTAATTTTTTTGAGGTTGGGCCTAGGCCTTCCCTGGCCTAGGGCTAGATCCGCCCCTGCGTGTACGGCATGTAGGTACTAAATAAATTACACTATATATATATATATATATATATATATATATATATATATATATATATACATATGTATTTCTTCCAAATGTTTGAACTTTGAAACTGTGCATTGTGTAAGACGATTTCAAGAATTGCATATAGCTTAGGGTCATTGCATAATGAAGTGTAATCCTCTGTTTTAATGCAAATTTATATTAAAGAATTACAGAAAATATAGAGAAACACTTTAAATTATACGTAGTATGATAGGATAATCTTTAAGAAAACAACAAATTTCAGTACAAAACATAATCTGTCACAACACTAAGTTCAAGCATCAAATAATCGCAAATACTTCTAATCCCAGGAAAATAAAAAAGATTAAGCAGAAGTAGAGAAATATTTACTATCTCTGTCCCTCGTTTGGTACCTGAGGAGGTAAGGTGATTATTAAAAAAACTAAAAAACATGGCGGTATTGAACACATAAAGTAAGAACAATGTAAGAACAATTTAGAACTAGCATTATCAAATTAGGTACGGGACAAGATCGAAAAGGACAATTTTAGGGGAGCGAGGAAGTATTATTCCGTACTTTAATAAAGAGAAACTATCGTATGCTTATTAACTGGAAAATTAGAAGAGCATCAACATTTTTAACAAATCTAGAAAAAAAATATAACAGGAAATTCGAAAACATTGTTGAAGAAAATAGAGAAGAGGATACCATCCCGGCCTTTGGCTTCTTCTCAGCCTCCATTTTCTCGGTTGCAGGAGGTGTCTTGACTCTGGTGCTGGCTTCTTCTGAGCTTGTTCTCAGTTTTTGGCACCACAGAATCTAGAGAGGTATGAAAGATACAAACCCTGTCGTGCAATTTTGGGCTACTTTATACGGAGCAGGCAGCCCAACCATTATCTATTTTATGGGCTTGATTACTTTTTATGGTCTAAATTTTGATAAAAACAATGAGTAAATGGTCAGTTTGGTCTTTGAAGTTGCAAAAAAAGGGATCAAATAAGTCCTTATATAGAAGATTTTGTCCGGACGTGGCATTTGAGGTGGCTCCCGGTGGTTTTTTTTTATAAATTTTTTTGAGCATTTTATTCATTAAATGTAGTTTACTCATACCAAATTTAAACTAAAAATTCAATCGGGAAGACATTCAAATGAATTCTTGAAGATAACTGCGCTTATAACGGCACAGTTATCTTCAAGAAATCATTTGAATGTCTTCCCGATTGAATTTTTATCTGAAATTTGATGTAAGTGAACTAGACTTAATGAATAAGATGGTCAAAAAACTTTATCAAAAAATTCCACCGTAAACCACCTCAAATGGCACGTCCGGACATAATCTTCTTTATAAGGACTTATTTGACCCCTTTTTTGCAACTTCGAGGACCAAATAGGATTTAACTTCTAAAAAGGAGTTAACTTCTAAAATTCTCCAAATAGGATTAAACATTAATTTTTACCCCTAATTACCCCTATTGTAATTAATTATTGCCCCCCTAGTTCCCTTGGGCAACAAGGGCAGTCCGTCGGTGACAGGGAAGGGTGTTGGTAGCGACAGCAGTCCGGTGGTGGCGGTGGCAGGCGGCGGCAGCGGCAGCCGGCGGTGGAGCTCCGGCGACCGGCGGAAACCTTTATTCTAATTCATTATTGCCCCCCTAGTTCCCTTGGGCAACCAAGGCAGTCCGTTCGTAGCGGGGCAGTCGGCCGGTGACGTTCGGTGGCAGAAATGCTGGGAAACTTCCAAGAGAAAAATCTGGAAAATTTTCCGTCGTTGTTCGCCGGAGCTCCGGCGGCCGGCGGCGGCGGCAGTCCGGCTGGCGGCGGAACTGTAGCAGCAGGCAGCAACAGGCAGGGTATCCTTGTCCATTTACAAAAAAAATACTCCTATTTTGGGAATTTTAAAATTCTAATCCTATTTTTGCACAAGTCCTATGTTTTACTCCTATTTTGGTAAGTGCCCCATATGGAATCAACTCACCCATACCAAAATAGATTGGTTACTAATGGGTATGGGGTTAAAAATATAAGCTTTTAATTGAGTGAAGGATCATATAGCCAACACTTCACTTTCCTTCATGATTCACCAAAGATTTCTTATATGTAGATTTAGTCAAGGAATCTGCACAGAACCTTTTTGGAATCTACATTCACCCAAAATTTTACTCAGCTTTAAAGTCCAATAAGCAGCTTCACCACCACTATCAAGAATAGGCAAAGCAAAATTAAATGGCCAACGCTACTAGAAGTGTATATGCACCTTCAATAGCCTCACGGGGTGTCTTGAACCCCAGACCAATGCTCTTCCAATAACGATTTCATGCCTTACCAGGCCGACTTCCTTTACCACTCTTCTTTGAGCTGCGAACCCCAAGGATAATGAAATCTACAATTACACAGGAGGAAAGGAAGGCACATGAAGAACCAAATTAACATACCCGAGGAAAACGCCAGGCTGTTTCAAAAAAGCCTTCTCAGTCTGCAACACAAGCAAAGCAAATCAATTTCACAGTGAGCTTACAGAGATTCGAAATCGCACTCGAAGAATGTGCCTTGATAGATATGTACAAACCAATAGAAATGACACCGCTAAAAGCGACAGGATGCGAAGTACGGCGAAGATATTGAAGATTTGAAGAGAAACGACACCGCTAAAAGCAACGTCTTGAAGTCCAGAAAAAATTATTTTTACTTTCTGATGCGGAATCTTTGTAAGATTCGCGTAAATAAACGGCCAGATATTACCCAAAATGGGACTAAAAAAGTTTGAAAATTCTAAAATAGGACTTTCATGTTTTTATTCCCAAAATAGGACTAATTACTGTCATGTTTTGGCAGTACCAGACTTCAAACATGACAGTATTTTCTAAATTTAGCAGTAATTAGTCCTATTTTGGAAATAAAAACATGGCAATCCTATTTTGGAATTTTTGATCTTTTTAGTCCCATTTCGGGAACTTTCCCATAAGCGGCGCATAAAATAGGCAGTGTTGTAAGCTCATGTTTACTTCAAATGATTTAAAACATCGTTTAACATTAAAATGTTCAAAATAACTTTATACATATATAGACACACAAACATTCATGAACACAAATATATAATATAATATGTGGGGCTCACCTAATATGCGTACCCATACCCCTAACCTTACCCACCCTCACTCCCTACCTTGACATTAACCTCTACCCATACTACAACCCTGCATAGCCATACTCCTAACCCCTACCCTACTCGTAGGGGTGGGGTTGAGGTAGGGGCAGGTGGTAGAGGGTAGGGTCCGGGGCATGGTAAGGGTTGGGGGAGTGGGTGGGGTCGAGGTAAGGGCAAATGGAAGGGGGTAAAAGGGTAGGTTCAGGGTACGGGTGGGGTGGTGGGGTTGTGGTCAGGTCGAGGTAGGGGGTACGAGGTGGGGTAAGGGGGAACAAGGGATGGGTGGGGTAGTGGTCGAGTCGAGGTAGGGGCAAATGGTAGGGGATAAAGGGGTAGGGTCCGGGGGCAGGTAAGGTGGGGGTGGGGTTGTGGTAGGGGCAGATGGCGGGGGTAAAAGGTACGAGTGGGGTGGGATGGGGGTAGGTAAGGGGTGTGGGTAGGGTAGGGGTTGGGGTCGGGTGGAGGTAGGGGCAGGTGGTAGGGGTAAAGGGTGTACGGTCGGGGTATGGTAGTGGTAAGGGGGTTGCGGTGGAGTAAGTGGGGTAGGGGTTAAGTGGGTGGGGTAGTGGTCGGGTCGAGGTAGGGGTAGGGTCTGGGTAAAGATGGGTGGGGGTAAGGGGTATGGTCGTGGGGGTAGGATGGGGGTAGGGTAGGGTAAGGGTAAGAGGGTAAAACGAGTGGGGTGGGGTGAGGGGTTGGGATGGGGTCGAGGTAGGGGCAGGTAGGGGGTAGGGTCAGGGTATGATAGGGGTAAGTGGGTGGGGGTAGGAAGAGGTCAGGGATGGGGTCAGGATTGAGTCGAGGTAGGGGCCGGTGGTAAGGGCAACAGGGAAGGGCAGAGGTAAGGTATGGGTGGGGGTGGGGTGGGGTAAGGGGTTATGGTCGGGGTAAGGTAGGGTAGGGGGCAGGACTGGGTGGGTAAAGGGTAACAATAGGGTAAGGACAATGGGTAAGGGTAAGTTTAGAAAATGAAAAAGCTTAAAGTGCCGCTTAACTAATATATGGGGGTGGTATGCTTAGTGAGCGCCACTTTAAGCACTTATTTCGGTTAGTAAGTAGCTTTTTTAGCAATTTGCGTGTTTACTTTACTTATCTTACTAACCTAACTGTGACTTTAGCAGTGAAGTAAACGCCTCGTAAGAGTATCATAACTGTTTACATAAAAGTGGAAACTTCATTTCAAAACGGTAGTATTTATGTTTTGCAACTACTTCTCGGATAGTAAAAAAACATGTGGTCGTGTATACGCTGAAGCAAGTCCAGATCGCTTTATTAATACTCTGTGCTGAGTAATGAGTGTAAGGTAAAATTATAACTCACGGGTGTTTTTGTGGAGTAATCGATTCTGGAATGCAAGTATAGCAACATAATATGCAGTTCGATGAGTGTGGAATGAAACCTATTCTTTGCATCATTTGGTGATGTTCCGCATCATGATCATAACTAGGGATGGACCCGGTCTGCTAATCCCAATCTAGCCGAAATCGGGCCCGACACTTTTTGGGGTCAGCTCGGGACTGGTTTTCAGGTCCCAGTCCAAGACCACCCCCCGCCTCGGTCTTCGTTACCTGTTCCTTGGTGCATTTTAAGAATTGGTGCGATTTTTAGAATTGGGACTGGACGGAGTCTATGCCTAATTGGTTAATTGCAGCTAACCTAGTGTGGAACATGGTGATTGATCTGCACCCTACGATGTCGGGATTAGTCAATCCTCGATTACATGAAGATAACACAATTGATGTTGGGATCAACTCTGCTTCTTTTATGCGCATTCAAAAAAATAACCTCTTCAAAGCTGTATACATATGTCTGCGTAAACCGGAGGCCAAAGGGCATCAACAATTTTCTATTGGGATTGAAACATAATATGACCGCCATCAATGTGACGATTAAAGCTTGATCATTGAGGTGTAATAGTTTCAAAGCACATTATGTACGAATTCATATAAGTTGGAACTTTGATGCTAGGAAGAATCGTACTCAGAATCTCAGATGAGTAAATGGTAAAGGACAAAGAAAAATTATCTCCTTTATGCCTAAAAGATCATGATGTTCCCAATATATGACTAAATGAGTTTTTTTTCGTGATACGATGCTAGCATAATATACATGGCATGTGCGCATCATTATTATTTATTTTAATTCCACCTGTGTCCTCCAATGACTAAACGTATTAACTGTCCTCCTAAGAATAAGGAAACCATTCCTCATTGACACGATATTAATTATCATCATAAACCGCCACATTTGAAGTAACTGCTTCTCCACTAAATTTTAAACCACACATAATATATGAAAAATATGCAATCTCGATAAAGTAAAAAAACAATCATGTAGGCCATAATTTTATTTATTATCTATACACAATTAATTTATGGCCCAAAATTTTAAGTTTTACATACTTTCCATACATTCACTTTACTGTCCAAACCCATCATGCAACTCAATTCCTTTTACGGTCGTCTACACACTTCAAATTAATGCCTTTATTATATTTTTCCTATACTACACACACAACAAAAACTTTCGTTTTACTGCCCAAAATTTATTGTCCAAAAACATCATTATGGTTAAAGTGAAAATTTGCATTGTGAATAAAGTGAATATTTTGAAAAAAAAATTACATGTAGGCCATAATTTTATATTCGGCCCAATCATATTTACTGCCCGAACATTATTTTATTTACTGCCCAATCATATTTACTGCCCGACCATAATTTTATTTACTGCCCCAACCATATTTAAAGGCCAAATTTAATGTTTTATTGTCAAAAAATTATTGCCCTATATATATCCACTACCCTATATATATATATATATATATATATATATATATATATATATATATATATATCCACTGCCATCTTTGCGTCGGCAACAAACTTCCCATACATTGTCGTATTTTTAGTTCGATGATATTTTAATTCTAATGGAGCAGGACACCTTTTGGTGTTATGGATGGGATGATAATTAATGCAAACGAAGTGCTGCCTAAAAAACGGAGAACGTCTATGTATGACAATAATTCTCAAGGCTATTAGGGTATTTAATTTGGATGTATGATGATGCATGACGTCTCACACCATCCAATTACTCATATTAAAGGCACGGGAGTTTTCTAGTCATATTTAGGGAAGTTGTCTATCTTCTAGTCACATCGAGGAAAATTGCAAATGGTAGGGGAATTTTCTTCCATTTTGTTTCACTTTAATTTCATGTCTCTATAAACTGCAACAAGATATCAATAAACAAATTATCAAGATTTTTCTACATACTAGGTTTACTAGCCGTCAATATCTTCTCTACACTATACTGATGTACTACACTACAAAACCTCCAAACGTGGAGGGGCTTGCAGTGATCTACTGCCATCTTCAAACAGCTCCTCTGTGATTGCAAGCAATCTGCAGACCATCCCATGATCATCGCCATCCTAATGACCCTCCGAAGAATAGAAACAGCAGTTATTTTTCTCTGAAGATTTATGCTTTATTAGTTCCACCCCAGGTCTGTATCATCTTCCATAGGAGCCGTGTTTAGATCTGGAAGGATGAAGCCTCTGCCCCGCGTCTCAACTGACTTCTGTCTCATTAGTACAAGGTCATTATCTACTACTGTGTGTCTAGGCAGAGCTGAATGTGTAACAGCAGATGGTAATGTGCGCATGTGGGGCCCTCCGACATCTATATCACCAACTGATTGCTGCACATTCAAATCAAACTGGCCAGGTCAATAGCATGTTAATACAACTCTTTCTTAGAAATATGCAAGAGGGGCCTGACATCCATATCACTAATTTATTTAGAGAATTTCAATTGGTTTTTACCTTGATCCTCTTCATGACTCCTATCCTGTCTTTTTGTTGATTAAGGATCCCACAAAGAGGTGCCAGATTCTATGTTGGTCAGATATCAATCTCAAATCAGTGAATTTCATAACGAAAGAAGAAAATAACACGATATTAACCCTTCCCGAATATACCTTTCCCTTAAGAATCGAGTTTTCTTCATCCATAAGGAATGCCTGCCCATCAAATGAAAAGATGTTAATATTAGCCTCTCAATGGGTTTTGTTTTATAAATTCAGAACAAGAGTTGTCTAATTAGGTATATTCGCTATGAGCCTATGTGGAACACTTAACCCCCTCTCAGTCTATACTCTATATCAGGCTGCAACTGAACGGATCGTTAAATGAACCAAACAGGTCCTAAACCAGTAAACCACTAGGTGGACAGTCAGACGGACGAACAAATCACAATCAGCCTAATATTAAGATCCTATATTAAAATACCCAGTCAAAGGGAATCGATATATCAGAGTATCAGACATCCTACATGGTGGATACTTAACAGAAATCATATTGTGTCCAATCAATTGGTTGATGTGAAACATTACCTTTCTCTTTCTAAGACCACTGATAGATTTTCCAACATTGCTGGTTACATTAGTGAAAGCAACCTGCAAGTGAGCATATGAGCAGACTTGATCTATTAGTAAAATTAGCCACTGCACCATGTGTTAAAGATGATAAGAAAGATGATTTTACGTTAATCCCAATCTAAAATGCGAACATGACCGAAATAGGTAAGCAGAAACAAAAGTGATACCAACCAAATGTACATACATCTGAATACACGTTACAGTTTGTGCAAATATAATTGTCCATTCATGATATGCACATTAAACTTATAATTCCTAAGGAGCCTGCTTGGACACAGTTTGAATTCATCACACTACCAAATTTAGTACTTTATCCATCCAAAATTAATCATGATATGACTAAACACAGTGATTAAAAAGGTGATAACTGTGTCATTGAAACTCATACAGAAAAGAGAGAAATCATACAAACTTAAAAAATCTTAAAAGGAAAAAGTGTTAATGTTGGTTAAATGGGCAAAATCCCTTGCCTCTTGACCTTACAACCTGATCTATGTACCCTTAGATGGGAGGGTAAATGCCCAGTCCCACACGAAACACACCATTTTATATTTAGGTGTAAAACTCATTCTGTTGCTGTAGTGTCAAGAACATAATATGTGCTTTATTTGTATGATGTTACCCCCAGTAACCAACTAAACTGCTCAAGAGGCACAACAGTGTGGGCTCAAAGATTCGATAGGACTACCCTTCGAGCCCAAGGGATAGACACAAAGCCCAACAAAACATTTGTCTACCACTGACGTGGTAGATCTACCTACAAGAATCATATCAAGTTACAAAACAAAACAAAAAAGGTTTCCTATTATTATATGGACCCAGATTTGTCAATAAATCATTCAACAAAACTCCAAAAATCATAACGTTTGGGAAAGCCTATTTTATCGGGAATGTTTTTCTCATATGAGCACTGGTTAATTTTTTTTAAAAACATTGTTTATATTTTCCCGTTTTGACATTTATTTCTTTACAAATGAACTTTTTCTGATATTTTTGAAAATAAATCCATACAAGATTCTCAAAATAAGTTCTTTCCGCATCTACTCCAATCAAAGAAAACAAAATACGGAGTATTAAAAGTAACTTTTTTCTTATGTTTTCTTAAATTAACATAAGAAAGTTAAACCAGTCTGTCTAAAAATAGTACTCCATAGCTTTTATTCCCCTGTCCATATCTATATTCCTCTTTCACTTTACACTGTTTAAAAATAGCAAAACTGGTAGTAATTAGAGGGATAATAATAGGGATGTACGAAGTATCATGTATGAAAAGGGAAAAGTGAAAATAAAGAGTAACACTCTACCCCAATAAACAAATCCGGGAAAAAACATTTTAAAAAACATGAAAGAGATTACAACTTGAAAAGGTCAAAAAATATAAAAAAGCAGAACCCGCAATACACATCACCAAAGATAATTACAGGTCTGGCCCGCCTCCTGACAAAGGAACAGATGGAATCAAGGAGAAGCCACATGATAAGTCCATGAGGCCGCGGTTACGACGGCGACTCCCAACTCCGCGGCGGCGAGTGCGGGGCCCATACCTACATGCAGGTATGTGACCCCTACATTAATTTCGCTTTTACGACCCCTGCCCATTGAATTAGGTGATCCACTATTTACTCAAAATAAAGTACAGAGTATCATTGACCCGTTTTGTTTAAAAAGCATTGTTGTTATACTGTATTTAATTAGGTAAAAAAGAAGTATAGGACTCTAGGTTTATTTCCCGATGAAGAGAATGGATTATTACAGCCCAGAGGAGACAGACAGAGCTCGAGGCACTTGAAACACGCTTACATTGGAAATTTCCCCAGATCCGAAGCTTCGGAGAGGGCATTTGAGAAGAGGATATTCATTCAATTTAACTCACTAATTTATTAATTAATGAAAACGAATATATATATAGTAGGAAATAATTCTCTGAATGACGGTATTGGAGAAAATTGGAAAGCGAGGAAAGCGGAAACAGTTACACAAAACCTTGGATCTGAAGGAGGAGGTTAGATCAGAAGAAGACGGAAGATGGCTGGACTCGTCATAGCCGCCGTCGCTGGGTGAAGCTGCGGCGCCGCTCCACGAGAGCGGAGTTGTGGGGCTGTACCTCGCGTCAGTTCCAGAGCCGGACTCTTTGCGGCTGACCGTCGTCGCCGGCTTTGATCTTGGCTGGCGGTGACCCCAATTGCCCGGAGAAGGAAACCGCTTGTGAAATAACTTAATCCCGTCCGGATGCAGCTGCGGTCGCGGCGGCGTGCACTTTTCCGACGAGCGCTTGAGGGAGAACAAAAGTTCCACCACCACCGCGTCATCCGTCATCGCGGCCGTTAGCCATTCGTCCTTCATCATCATCAATCACTGGTAAACCTGGCGATGGATGAGGATATAGTGGGGATGTGGGAGGTAGAAAGGATATAAAGAAGGTGGCGGAGATAAATAATGAAAGGATTGAATGATTTGTGTTGTGCGTATATATATGTGAATACATATATGATCCGTATATACATACAGTACACACAAGGACGTACATACGTGTATGATGTATGCGTATATATATGGTCTTGCTACCATTGCCAGGAGCCCATGACTTTGGAAAGGCAATCGGAGAACGGATTCAAATCGAATTGTTAGGATCCGGTTTGATTTGGTTTCTAGACGTGAATTACAAATTGATTGTAATAAAAAAACCTGAGAAACTCTGATTCGTTATTAAAAAAGTTAATTAATATTGGTGGGGGGTATGGTGGTGATTAATGAAATTACAGAATTCAGTATTATATCTAGAGATGGCAACGGGACGGATCGGGAACGGTTATGCATATAACCGTATCCGCCTCCGTTGAGAAACTTCCCTGCCCCATAACTGTCCCATTATCCAACGGGTAATTTTTATCCAAACCATAACCGCCTTAACGGGTAACGGGTATAACCGCAGGTAACCACGGGTAACCGCTTTATTAAATGTGTCATTGATATTTTAATATAAAAATTAATATTTTAAAAGAAAAAAAAATGATATCGCTTAAAAGTTTTGTACATCTACAAGACAAGAAAGAAGGCAACCTAAATTAATTTGACCATAAAATACTTAAAACGAAAAATAATTAATCAAGAAAAAATGATAAGAATCAAACGAAACTATTAAAATTTATTATGAACTTTTATTCATATATTATGCATAGTAATTAGTACATCCATATATACACAATGAAAAGACAAAAACTCATATTTTATCAATTGTGGGACAAATAATAGGAAACATGCAATCAAAATATAACTAAAAATAAACGAGACGGGTACGGGGCGGGTAATGGGGCGGGCATGTATAAAACAGTAACCGCCCTGTTATCCATAAAAATAAAATGGGTAATCCCCACCTCATACCCATTACCCGGGCAATGCGGTTTTCCCCGTTTTGACCAGAACGGTTCGGTGCGGGTACACATCGGATCGGTCACAATTGTCATCCCTAATTATATCAAGTGTTTACTAAATATTGGACTTTGATGTGTAAACTGTAAAGTGATTAGAATTTTTTTAAAAAAACGTGTTTTTTAAATTTTCAACATTTTCATGTGGTATAGAGTAAATTATGAGTTAATTTGTTTATGAAAAAATTAGAAACCGATAAAAGCAAGCACAAATTTGTTTAGATTTCTTTAAATGTACACAACCAACTTCATTAATTTAGATAATCGTTCGCCGATGGGTTGATATCTATCTAATCTAAAATCTATCTAATCTATCTATTATAAACACCAATGATGGTTAGGGTCTTTTTGGTATATTAAATGTGTTGGTGTAACACAAAGCAACATGCTCTTATACATTATGCTTCCATCATTATACCAAATATTTTTATTGTTCTTTTCTTCCGTTACTACTTCCGTTAAAATTCAAGCTTTCATGCCTTCATTGCATTTAGCCGTCTTTGCATTTAACCTCATTTCATTGCTGCTGGGAAGTATGTACAACATCAAATAGAAACAGTTGTTTTAATTAATACGGCGTATTATTATTACCTGGATGGTATATTGTGCATTTTTATACGTAGTATATTTAAAGCATATGTATTTTCTTATTATAATAATAATAATTAATACATAATGGCAATTGGCATTTTCCCTACTCATTTTTGTTATCCTTCATGATGTTTTTACTTATTTTTTAATATGCCATTCTAAATTTTTATTCGCAACCATTAGACACTCCATTCATTCTCTCTCAAATACAATCAATAACTAACATAATTCTAATGAATTATTAGATCATCTATAAACGGTTTTTTTAAACATTAAAAGTTTTAGTTATTTTCAATCCCTTACAAAGGAATTATGGGATTGGCACAAAATTTGGCACGAATTTACCGATTTTCCGTGCCAAATAGCTCTTGCCAAAGTGTTTTTGGCATATCCCTGCCAAAATTTCTGTCAATTCCCTGCCAAAATCTCTGCCAAAAAAGTGATAAGAGCATAACAAATTGATAAGGATTCAATCAATAATCTTTTTGTTGTATTCGAAAGAAAGATTGCTATCAGATATATCGATTTAGAGCCCGTTTAGTGACTCTTATTTTTGCATTATCGGTTTTATCAGTCAATTTTTTCATGAAAAACGTAACTTTTGATTTCACCCGCTGCAGTGTATAATAATTAAAATAATTAAAGTTGATGTTATTTTCTGAATTAATTGGCTAAAGTTACTCTAGATGGCCATTTTAGCTATTTTCGTATAATACTTTCTTTATTTTGCTAATTTTTTTTTCATAAATCAGTAGAATCAGCCAATTCATTTATAATTATCTAAATTTCGGCTGAATCAGCCATTTTCAGTGTAATCAAATGGATTCTATCTTAATCTATATCCTTTCTAGATTCAAAGACTCAGCCTCAAATCACAACAAATATGGGTACATACCTTGTAAAATTAAAAACTCTAAATACACATTATTTAATAAAATAACCTAGACAAATATGATGGCTTTGTGAAAAATATAATTTCGAAAATAAAAAAGAACATAAATTGAATTGAGGAACACGAGCAGAGAGGGTGATAAAAGAACAAAGGAGAGGGGCTTTTGCTCCTTGCTTTCTATCATTTTTGTCTTTTATGTTTTCATTGGTATTTATAAATAATGTATTTGAAAGTTGCTAATTCTCTATTTCATTTTGCGGTGGACACTTCTTCGAGAGTTGATATTCCCTCCGTCCCATTGTAATTGTCATATTTTCCTTTTTGAATTGTTAACAAAATCATATTTTTATCACAATATTTCACTGTATTATACACAAATTTCACTACATCTTTTACTTTTTCAATTACTTTATTAATAATTGTATCAAATGAAAGCGAAACACATAAAATAGGGTAGATGTATTACTATTAACCGATGAGCATTTCATAAATAGAATAACTTGTGTTCACCTCAAAAAATAGTATTGAACTATGAGCTTATAGTATTTTGATGAGCAACTTTTGTAATGCACATTAGAAATGGCAAGAATGTCCGCTTTGCGGAATAATACGATTCATATTTAAACTTTAGTTACAAGTGTTTATTACTGAAGATTTGTATGTAACTAATAGTTCGTTGGTCTTCTTAATCAATCCTACATCCAAATAATTGATGGTGATTTGTGAAGTTTGAGTAGAATCAAACATATCAAATACAAGAAATCATACTTAATACTTTGTACTTAATAAGTCTCTATTTTCTCTTGAACAATAAAAATACTTATTTTGCATATTAGTGAATAAGAACGAATAAGAATGATTAATAGTTAGACACGTACTTGATTGTTGGAAATTATTTCATTTAACAGATGATGGATATGTTTTAACATTAAATAATACATAAGGGACCAAATGTGTTTCTTTGATATAAAATAAATAAGTGTATGTCGGTTCCAATTCTTCCGACAAAAGGGAAGAGACACGCCTCTTCCTAAGGGTCCCCGCAACATCATTATATAGAGACTCAAATGAGAATCGGTCAATCCATCACAAGGGGATTTTGTATCCTTAGAGAATCTAACCATCAATAATGTCTTTATCATCTTCTAGAGCACCATTCAACGTTTGGTTTCTCCTCAACCGGTTAATGTTCTTATTGTGCTTGATTCTCTAAATTTTATCATGTTTGATGAGATTAGATCATATTTTTGACTAATTTCTCAACAAATATTTCTCACTTTGCTAATGTTACTTTTATTGTGAAACTAGGAAAATAGGATCTGGCTCATTGTGCGTTTGCATTTTTATTTATCTATTTTTAGCTTCTCTTTATGATGAAGGAACACTAAATACTATATTTTTAAATTGATGCAAGTGTTAACATCTCAAATGCTAAAAGTAATCATATTAAATCACATTACAATATACATATTTCTCAATAAATAATACATTGGGCATGTTATTCAATCGCGCAACGCGCGTGTTGAAAACTAGTACAATGTAATAAACTTGAATGAAGGTTAGAGTATTGTGGGTATAAAAAATTATTGGTGGTATTCTAAGCTCAGTTGACATGTACATGGTGTTTAAATGCTTGTAAACTTTTATTTTCAATTGGCTTTGTCTCCCAACACTCCGTTTGTTTCCCGTTAATGTCCGTTAATATTTTAAGCACCAACCTCGTTTCTGTATTCGTCTTCCTCTTTAGCCCAACCGCCCCAATAGGCCCATGTGTTCGAATCAGGATCTTCGCTTTGTCGACACACGCTCAACCTCCCTCTTGGTCTGCACATCCCGCTCAGTCCTTTCCTCTTCTTTGGCATTTTGTCTGTGAGTTTGTTTCCCTCATTTGATCATAACCCTGGCATTTATTAACCCGTTTAATTTCAGCACATCGATCCTTCTCCTCTCCAGAGGAAGTTATGGAAATCCAATGGACACGGTCATCTTCACTCCTCTCCCCTGGCTGTATAAATCCGTGTTGTTCCGTTAGCAGACGATTTTTCCCGCAACCTCACACTTCTCCAGGTGCGTCTTCTTCCTTGTTTGTTCTTGTTTTCCCTTTTTTTTACACAGGTTGCACAACACGCTGATATAGGCCTTTTTTATACTATTTTAATTCAGTTGGTGTCCGTACTACAATGAAGTTTCTTATATTCTAGATGTTCTTGAGCTAAATGTAGCCTTCTGTCTAGAGATTTGAGCTAAGGTGTTAACATTTGGCTGCTATGGTTTTCATTGTAATAGACTAACAGTACATTTAAACATTACAATTAAGTTTTTGGTTTCAATGATTTCATGTGCGTTTACAAAAACAAAAGCGATTGTCCTAGGAGCACATTGATTTAAGCTGTGTTTGCAGTTGCTTAAAAAAGTGTTTTTCAACTTTTGGCTTAAAAAAAGCTAAAAAGAGTGTTTTCAAATGACAACTTCTACTTAAATTAATTACTTAAAAGCTAAAAGCTGGAAGCAGGTGCAAGGGTGC